TCTTCTCACCCTCATGGTGTCCTGCACTGTGGGGGTCCCCTTATACATGTGGGCAGACAACAGAGCCCCAAATCTGAGTTACGTCTACTGTCTTGCTCCCCCAAGCAAAAAGCTGCTCCCAGACCACCCTGCTCAGGCCTAGCAGGCCTTTTCATGCAAAGAGGCCCACACAGGCGTTGGAGTGGGTTCAGGGCCATTTGGTAGACAATTCTGGGATCCCAGGTCCTCAGAACCTGGGGGATAGTGTGGCTCCATGGGCACAACCTTTAGGCAGATAGATCCCCTGCTGTGGGGTAAAGATACAGCCAGATGAAGGAACAGGGGTTTCTAGAATGTGGGTTCAGGTTGCCTGGGTCTAGAGGTGGTACTGATGAGATACAGATCCAAAGTTTTATGAGTTCTTAAAAATATAATCTCCAGTTGACAGACCCAAGAAAAAATTTTAAAAGGTAGGCTGCTTTGGCTACATCAATAGACCCTGATTGAATAGTGGTTTTCTATAATGACATTATAGAAAATGTCATTAACAGTTACATGATATTAACTCACCTCCTAACCCCATATGGTTGACTTCCTCTCATAGATCCTAGACTCTGTCAGTTCAGGCCAGATGGCCAGAGCCAGGGAGGAATGAATTCTTCTAGAATGCTTTAAGGGCCAGGCCACCTTCAACTCAGAGTAAGGTACTCTCATCACTATTGGTGGATTTGGTAAGGGTCTGAAAGAAGTTTTTTTTTTCTTTTTCTTTTTTTATTGCAATATAACTGACCTATGACATGTTAGGTTTGGGTATATAATAAAATGATTCTATTTATGTATATATTGTGAGATGATCACCACATTGAATCTAACATCCATCAAAACACAGTGATAAATTTTTTTCTTGTAATAAGAACTTTTAAGATCTACTCTTTTAGCAACTTTTAAATATACAACAGCGTATTGTAAACTACAGTCCCCGTGTTGTACATGACATCTCCATGACTTATTTATTTTATAACTGGAAGTTTGTACCTTTCTGCCTTTCTCCATTTTGCCCACACCCCACCCCTACCTCTGGCAACAACCAATCTGATTCCCTGCATCTATGAGTTTGGCTGTTTCTTTTTCTTTTTCTTTCTTTTAGATTCCACATATAAGAGAGATCATATAGTATTTATCTTTCTCTGTCTGATCTGAAAGTTTTTTCATTCTTTTCTGTGCTATGTCTTCTTCCCTATTTATTTCCATCAATTAAAGAGACAATAACTCCACAGGCATCTCATTGGGAGTTTATCAGTTAGGAATACGTTTTTGTAAAATTTCCTGTATGAATAACCACAGCCAAAGATCCTATCTAAAAAAGTATTTAAGTCCTAGGATTTTTTGTCTCTTAGTTTCTAGTGATTATGTTCCCTCCACTGCTGTACCCACAACCCATGCCCACCTCAGCCAATCCTCAATGTTCTGGTTTGCCTCATGGTTTTAATATGGCAGTTGAGCACCAGACATCATATCTGCATTCGAGGCAAGAAGCAGAGGAGGGGTGGAACATGAGAGCACCAGTGATTTTTTTTTTTTTAAATCAGAAAAGTAAGAGCTTTCCTGGAAACCAGCCAGAATGTGTCACTGAGCCACCTCTAGCTGGAAGGGAAACCTCCACAATGGCTTCTAGAGGAGAACAGGTCAAAGGCAAAGGGAAGTGGTAACGGGTTATGTGTTGGCTGTCCAAAGGGTCTGCCATAAAGTGGAAAAGCCCTGATGGATATGAGGTACTGAGACTGAACATCTCAGTTTGGGGCTTCTCAGAACAAGACATGAGCCACAAGGGTGACCTGTGGTTCCACCTTAATGTCTCCCAAGTCTTCTTGATAGAAAGAGGGGCTTTATTGGAGGAAAAGGTTCATTAAGTCCTTAGCCTATAAATATAGGTAAAATAAGGAAATGAAGGCAGGGCAGCAACCATTTTATCTCTTTTAGGAATAAAAACAAAAAGCATAAATTTGAACCCACTTCCGATTACTGGCTTCAGAAGGCAGCAAGGAGCAAACCTTTCTAACTTTCTCACATCCTGGTAGCCACTGCATTTCTCTCCAGTGATGGGCAGGTCCTTCTGCCCTGTTCAGAAGAAGGTGGGACACCCCAGGACCCACCACACCAGGCATTAGCACTCGGGCTGGTGGTGGCAACTTTACAGAAGGGAGTAGACGGAGCCCCTGTGGCCGCCACAAAGAAGAGAGGGCTATGCCTGCTGCAGTGACCACCAGCCTGGGCCTAAGCAGCCATTCAAAAGAGATTCTACATGAGCCCAGTTAACGAAGAGCTGAGAGCCTGAGGTGGCTGTGACAGAAAACCAGAGCTGGTTTGGTGCAGAACGAGCATCTGAACAGGATACCACCTGGAGGGACGGGTCTGCTGCAGGCAGGGTCAAGTGCTGCAGCAGGCACCGGAGGCAGAGAACTGCTGGCTACAGTCAGTGGGTAACCCTGTTCGGAGCTCAGTCTTTTATAACAGCAACTCCCGCTCAAAGCCCTCCAGGTGAACACCACCTTACTTCTCTCTTCTCTGAGGGCATCAGATCAGGAACACTCCCTGTTCAACCGCATCTCTGGTAGCAAAACAACCAGCGTCCTCATTCTGGAATCTTCTGAGATGGCTCTTCCCTAATGCAAAACATCCTTCTGTGCCCTTTGCTATGGTGATCACACACACTTGTGGCATGCTCGTTTAAGAGCACTTTCGAGGAGAGCCTCTCCCTCTGTATTTCCATTTGTAAGCTCTTGGATGGAGCCAGACACGCCATCTAAGTTCTCTCTGTAACTGTCTTCTGCCAGCATGCTGCCCAGGTGTTGTTCTGCATCAGTTCAGGCAGGCTGGAAAGGGTAAGGGAGCTCTGCAGGCTGACTTTCAAGGAAGGCATTCATTTCAACATATAATTCACATGCAACATAGAAAGTCAACTTTCATCAATATAAGCAAAATAAAATTCCCGGAGAATGCCGTACTTTCAGAACACTGCAGTCAACACTGTGAATGCATTCAGTCCACTGGGTTGTTATTTATGTTATGTGAATTTTACCTCAAAAACTACAATGTTACTATACTTTTTAACTTTGGGAAGTGGTTTTACCATTTTCTTCCTCACCCCACTTTCTTTTCACATTCCTGGAGGCCAGAAATACAGAAACCATGAGTTGTGTCTTCTCAGAGAAGTAAACCCAGGTCCATGGAAGGTGTGAAGCCACTGGGAGGGTGGCCGAGCTACAGAGAGCTCAGTGTGCTGATGCCTGGGCCAACGCTCATTCTACAAGATTCCAGAGCAAATTACTCAAGGGCATGGTCCCTTTGTGACCTCCAAAGGCAGCAAAGGAAGCAGAAGCAACACCATACTACAGAGGAAGCTAAGTCCTCTCTTCCTCCCCGTGTCTGCCAGAATTCGAGATGGAGTTCATCTCCCCAAGACAGTAGGGCAGGAGGGAAGGTACTGGAGATGAGATCAGTTTTGCTAAGCCATTTTTTCAAGTTCATTTTTTATATTTTATCTTTTAAGTATAAAGTCAGTGTTGTATAACACCTTCACAGAGTGGTCCGGCCACCGTCGCCATCTCATTCCAGAACATCTCCATCATCCCCAGTGGGAACCCTCCAGCCATTAGTGGTCAGGCCCCATGCCTCCTCCCTGGCCCCGCAACCACAAATCTACGATAGCTTTGCCTGCTCCGGACATCTCATACCCATGGAGGCATTCAGTGTGTGACCTTATGGGCTGGCTTCTCTCCCTCAGCAGTCTTCTCGGTGTGCATCCAAACCACAGCCTGTATCACTATGCCACTCCTTCCCATGGTGTAAGCCATTTCTAAGTCCTCAGGGATTTTTTTGCTGCTTCTTTCCTGCCAGCTGCAGGAATGTGGGACCATAGTCAGGGCAAAAGAAAGGAGCCCTCATTCTGGCAGGGCCCAGAAAGAGGACAGAGACCCCTCAGCAGCGTTACCAACATTCCCCACTATCTTCTTCTGGGGGAAGGGGTGACAAGGACTGTTACGTCAGCCCCGCTGGCCAACAGCCCTCACTATAGGACCACGTGGAGCACGTACCACAGTGCAGCCCTGCACTATCCCGATGGTGAGGGCCATCCCACACAAGGCTAAACCGGGTGCTTCAACAAAGGCAAGGCCCAGCACCATCTTGGATGAGGGGTGTGCTTGAGCCCTTGCTTCTGTACTCGTGCAGGGGCCTGCTCTTCAACTGTAGATTCATAACACCACCTAGCCTCTACAGTGTTTCCTGGGGTAGGTCCCCCATGTATACCCCTGGACAAATAATACTCGCAAATGTCCTTGACGTCCAAGTGCCTCTCCACGTCAAGCTGACGACGTGACTTCCCGGGCGCCTGAACAGCAGCTCGCGACAAGCCTCTCACGTGGGCCTAACCTCAGTATTCTTACAGTTGTTCTTCCATGTCCCTGTCTTCCTCTCCTCCTTTCTAGCATGAGGTAGACAAGGGATTACCAGGCCCAATTTGCAGAAGAAGAAATGGAGGCCGGGTAAGAGCAAGAGACCAGTATTCATTAGCGAAAGTGACTGAATGGACAAGGGGTCCCACCTCCCACTGCACTACTCTGGATATGCCAAGGGAGATACACGAGAGGGCCAGTTAATGACACGCTCCTTGGGGGGGAGGAAGTGAAAGAAAAATGACAGTGTGTTCTCAGCTGTCCAGATTGGAGGGCACATATGTCGACCCAAACTGCCACCAGACCGTGTCATCTTCTACAATTAGACAGCACTTACCCAGAACATGACTTATGTTAACAGCCCCGTTCCACCCCCAAGTTCTCCAACACCGACCAAAGTCACCATAAACCAAACAAGTCAGGGAAACTGATAGATAGTCCCTCTATGTGTAGGTCCGAAGAAAACCAGGCTTCCACAAGATCCAGCCTGCCAGGGAAAGGGGTGCCAAAGTAGGGATGACCCTGCCCCATCTCCTCTCCAGCCTCCCCTCCGGCCATGCTTCTTACCCTCCCTTCGAACTTGGCGGCGGCTCCTTCTCTGATGCAGAGATTCCGAGGGGGCACAATGAAAGCAGGGGCCTCGGTCAGGGGCACGGAACCGGCTCTCGAGTGATCCACACTGATGGAAGCTTTAGAAACCTGTGTTGAGGCAGCCAGCTTCACATCCCCCATGGTCTGCGAACAGGAAGGAAGACCAGGTCAGACGAGACAAAATGCTGCCCTCATTCCTGCGCATGGCCAGCATTCCAGGTGCATTTGGGAAGCTCCTCCTTCCCCAACTTTCCAACAAATCCCTTCTCTGCTAATGAGAGCCAGAGTCTTATAGGGAGGTCAAGGCTGGGAACAGAGGCAGAGATGAGAGAAGCCGGGTGGTCAGATCCCAGGCAGTCAGTGGACACCCACAGCCACCACTTGGAGGCTGGACCAGCTCAAGACTAGGGACCACGTCTTACTCACAGTGGTACAGTGGTGTCAGGGGCATGCAATTAGTTTGTTTTGTAATAGGGTACTCCTCTGTCCGACAAACCCAGATTTCTCTTTGGCTGGTAAGGTATTAGCCATGCAAGCAAAATCTTTTCCAAGTGATAAGACTCACAGGTTCACAGCAGTAGATAACAATATAAGCAAAACTTCTCTAGCACTTCCTATTCCCCAGGAACTATTCTAAGCACGTGTAAACAACAGCTCATTTGCTTCTCATATAAACACTAGGAGACAGTTAATCTCATCATCCCCATTTTATGGATCAGAAACGGAGGAACAGCAAGATTAAGAAATTTGCTCAAGGTCACGGCATTTAGTAGGAGCCAGAACTGGCACTTGAACCCAGGCGTCCAGCGCCAGAGCTCCTATTCCTAATCAGGGGCCCTCCTGCCCCCTGTAAACAGTCAGAGCTGGCCAGTGGCAAGGGGCTGTGAGGGCAGAGGAGCCAGCGAGGGAGCCTGCACATTTACATGTAAAACTGAGGTTTTCTGCAGGTCAAAACATACCATCAACAGCACTGAAAGATGGATGGGATAAAGTGTTTGCAGCAAAAACAAAGGATGAGAATACTTCACAACTAAGAAGGAAACAGCCCCGCAGATAGATGGGCAGAGGCTATGACTAGAGCAGTTCACCGAAGACTGACTGACAAAGGGACATGGCCTGGCCTTGGTGAGAATCCAAGAATACAAAGTCAGAACAAGCCATTATCATTTCTAAAAAACTGACCACACCGACATTTAAAAAGATAACATAAAATGCTTGCCTCGGGGGATGGGTGCATATCAGTTGGTGTGATCTCTCTGGAAAGCAATTTGGCAAAGAGATTCTGGGAAAAAAATCCATCTCTCCTCCCAGAAATCCTACATTTAGCAATTTTTTTTAATTTGAGGAAGAGAAAGAGAATGAGCAGGGGGATCAGTGGAGGGAAAAGGAGAAGCAGGCTCCCTGCTGAGCAAGGAGCCTGATGTGGGACTCGATCCCAGGACCCTGGGATCATGACCTGAGCCAAAGGCAGACACAACTGACTGAGCCACCCAGGCGCCCCTAGCAATGTATTATTAGGGAAGAAATCAGAGATGCAGCACAAAATTTATATCTAAGGAGGCTAATCACATAATTTATAGCAGAAGAAATAGAAAAATAATCCTAGGAAGTAGAAACACAAAGAAAGGCCCAGCCAAGTGTCTAACAGTGAGAACTGGTGGAACACAGTGGAGCTATCCAAGTGTATGTTTACAAGGAGAATAATGATAGGAATTGATATAGAAATTTTAAATTCAAAAAAAATTTTATTATGGAAAATTTCAAACATACAGAAAAACAGAAAGAATGATAAAACGAGCACCTTAAGTATCCATTGCCCAACTCCAACAATTACCATCTTGCCATATTTCGATCACTGTGTTTGTGTATGTTTGCACAATCATTTTAAAGTCATTTTAATGGAAAAAATCAGGACACACTCATTCACTCAATTAAAACAGATTTCTTGAACACTGATCATATGCCAAGCTAGGTGTTGGAGATACAGCAGTGAATAATCATATGTGTGTGGCAAGTGTGGTAGCCTGGTAGTAGGGAAGGAATGGGGTTCTCAAATCCTGCAGAACCCCCAGGACCATACCCTCGAGGGCACTCTGCTCCCTTTGGCCTCCTCCAGTGCCACAGAGACACTCAGCACGGGGTGGGCTCAGAGTGAGGGCAGGAAACATGAGGCTCAGACCCTGCCACAGATCCAGCCATGAGCAGCAAGGTACTTCCAGTCTCTTGGCCTCGGTTTCCTTTTCTGTAAAATGGGGGTGATAACCTCAGCCTCAGAAGGCTGCAGGGAGGATCTGAGTGAGAGCCCATACAAAACACACAACACAGCGTGAAAGGGGTTCAATCAGTAGTAGCCGATCAACATTGTCATCATTCCATTCCCAAAGAGAAGCCGGTCTCCCCACCCTGTAGGACACAGGTCCTCTTCACCGAGGACAGCAAGGAGCCCAGTTCAGCCCCATCACCTTCAGGGCAAGGGGATCTGAGTGGGATTACTGTGACCAGCAGTGAGAAGCAGATGGCCGAACTCCATGAGGAGGCAGGGAAGGCAGGCCTGAGGCCCACAGCAGCCTCCCTCAGCACGGTCGCGTCTGTTCTAGCAGCTCAACTGACTGAGGGCAGTCCCCACAGTCCTACAAGGCATTTCTGACTACGCTTCTCTCACAAATGACAACACCGAAGCTCAGAGATAACACCTGTCCAAGGTCACAGAGCTAAGAAGTAGAAACCAAAACCAAGTCTGACCCCTGTCCTACCCTGTAGGCCTCCTAGAGCACCCCTATGACCCAGACAAGGCATTTCCTACTGTCCCCAGTCAAAGGAGATAAAACAGGCGGAGGCTTGGGAGTTTCACAGAGGATGGGGGACAGGCAATGGGCCTCTGCTTCTGCTCTTAGATTTGGGTTTGAAAGACACAAGACTCTTCCCCCTCTGCTTTCTGGGGAGCTGAAAACTAGAAGTAGGTATGCAGGACCCTCTCTGCATACCACCCCGATCCAAGATCATCTAAGGTCTGTCTAAATCTCCCAAATGTCCTGGATGCTAGCATCAAAGGGAAAGTACTTGGCTTCAAGAACACAAAAAACAGAAGTCATCTACCCTCAGGGGAGGTCTGGCTTCATGGGTAGAAAAGGAACAGGCAAGTCAATCCAGTCAGGAGACATCCAGTCCCCCACAAGGTGGTTTCAGGGGTAGTAAGTTAACTATCAGGCGAGCAGGACCAGAGCCCAGGCGCAGGCTGGCCAGAGACACCAAACAGCTCCGCTCAGCCTATCGCCCCGCCCACTGCCATCAACAGCATAAACAGAATCCATCCACACTGGCAAGTAATGGTTACTGACATAACTGAGATGCTTGTCAAAAAGTAATAATAAATTAGGGGTGCCTGACTGGCTCAGTAAGTGGAGCGTGCGACTCTTGATCTTGGTGTTATGAGTTCAAACCCCCATATTGGGTGTAGAGATTACTAAAAAATAAAATCTGTAAAATAATAATAGTAACAATAAATCAAACCAAACCATCCTTATTCCCTTCTAATCTCTTGTCCAGCCTGATGACCACATTCCAGTCAAGAACACCAGAGGGACTGGGTATCTCTCACCGTAATTTCTCTACTGGCAGAGCTGGGCTCAGTGGCTGGAAACACACCCAGCTTGGCGGTTCATTCAATCAATACCAGTTAAACGCAGATCAAAGGACGGAGAATTAAAAGGAGAAAACAATGGAAGACGGAGGTCCAAGAGAGCTGGAGGCAGCCCCCTGTACACAATGCTCGGGCCAAAGCTCACCTCCAAATAAGGTTTTCGCAAGTTAACATAATTTGTTAATCATCCAAAGCAGCCCTAAGTTAACTTGACCTTAATTTGATCAAAAGCATTTTAAATTGTTTCTTGAACCCAGAAAAGAACATTTTCAACTGTGGCCAAAAGACAGTGAACTCTGAGGCAAAAAGACTCAAAAGAAATGTTAAAAATTAGGGATGGCAGAACAAGTTTAGAGAAACCAGCTGTACTCTTCCCTACCCAAAGTGCACACATTTAAAATGATCGTAGTCTTTAAGCACCTGACCCTGCAAGCAAGGCATCCTGGAAATCACACGCCTTCCCTCTAGGGCTGGACTCCCAGCAGGCTCTGCACTGGCAGCCAGCCATGAACCCACCTCCCACCTCCCCGCAGGCCTCGGACGCAGCAAACCACCCAGGCGCAAGGGCCCCAGGCAATGACAGCTCTGCTCTCCCACCTTCATCTTCTCTCTGTGCTGCGCTCAGATCCTGACCCATTCCCTGACAGTGCCTACTGCCTGAGTGAGCAGCTCCTTGGCCACGGGCTGTGCCAGGTGGCCTTGCTGTGACCCACAGGGACAAGCCGTGGGGCAGAACCATAAGCCCAAGAACCGATGTGCCTTACCGTGGCCTCTTCCCCGGGCAGCTCTCCCATGAGTCGGGACACACGGGCAGCCACGCTTTACCACTGGACTGCAGAGAATCCTGTCCAACGTCCGTCCGTCAGAGGAGGAAGAACACGAAGGAGAACCAGGGACGCGGTGGAGCCCAGGGCTAGACTGCAAAGTTAAGGGGCGTCTGCCTGACTCTGCTCGCAGATGTTGCAACTTGCCTTCTGCGGGGCAGCCAATTTCACTCAGTCAGGGAGCTCTGTTGTTCTAATCCGCCCAGCTGGGGTGACCTTTGAAACCCCTGGCTGCCAGCTGTAGAGGCTCTCCATGGAGTCCCGCTGAGACCAGGAGTGGAAGCTCACAGGTTTTTCCTCGTTTGGGGCTGCCGAGGCCAATCTCAGTGCGGAGCAAAGGGAGGACGCTGTCAAGCAGAGAGCTGAACCCCTGGAGGGGCTGGGCACACCCCCAGCTCCACATCTGTCCTGGAACGTCACTCACCCCTTGGCACATCTGGCATGGGATTACCACACAGGGCTCATGGGATATGTGCCTCCTGAGACCCTGCCCTTTTTTCCTTCAGCTAAAGAAGCCCAGCTTATGATCCCTGCAGTGGGAGGGAAGCCCAGAGAACAGAGGATGGGGAACTCCCGTGCTGCAATTGTCTTAAGGAATCTGGGCTGCGATCTGAACCAGGCTCCAAGCATTCATGTTGCGCACAGGACCCAGCAGGGCTCCTTCTAACCCCTGGGGAGCTTCAGGAAGGGTCCTTGGTGCATACCTCTAAAGTATGGTAGCACGGTGATGCCCAGCCCAGTCCTTCTCCTCCGGGGGAGAAAAGGATTTCTGTAGTTCCAAAGGGATCTCTCTTGCTGTGGCAATTCACACCACGGGACAAACTGTACATGTCTGAATCAGGAATGACTTGGCTTTAAGCTTTTCCATGGGGCTCTGTCTGATCGTTGAGAAACTGGTATTCATTCTTCTAAGACCTGGGGGACCCTTTACTCTCTAGCTTAGGAGTTCTCAAATTTCTGGTCGCAGAGCCCCTTTATGCTCCTCTAAATTAGTGAGGATATCAAAGAGTTTTTGTTTATGAGTTATTGCTAACAATATTTACTATATTCAAAATTAAACCCGATAATTCATTCAAAAACATCAATAATATGCCATTGTATGTTAACATAAATAACACTTTTAAAAGAAAAAATGTATTTTCCAAAACAAAAAAGAAAGCTTAGTAAGAATTGTACACTTTTGTAAATTTCTTTAATGTCTGGCTAATAGAAGACAGCTAGATTTTCATATCTGCTTCCACATTCAGTCTACTGTGGTATCACTGCATTTGCAGCTGCTGGGAAACTCCACTGGAGAAAGAAAGAGATTGAAAAAGGTGAATGTCATCTTATTACAAAGATGATTTGGACCTCTGGGCTCTTAGAAGAGTCTCAGAGACCCCAAGGATCCCCTGGGGACACACTTTGAGAACTGTTGCTTTAACCCATCCCCTCTCATCCCTTCACCATCTGCTCTCATGTCTGTCCTCCTAACAATCCACAACTAGAAAGCGAAAAGTGGTTCTATAAGAGTAATGGAGTGTGGCTTTGAGGAATGGGTGAGAAGGAGGGTGAATCGCTATCTAATTTGGTTCTATCTTTTCTTCTAAAGAGAATGGTTAAACAAACGTGTACCTGAGAGATACGAAGCTGAAACAGATACTGATAAAGAGAACGACTTTAAGTCAATTAAGTCCTTGGCCAAGACAGAATATAAACCCAGACCTCTGGAAGACATGGTAGATACTTGAAAATCTTATGGCTAAGAAAGGAAGAAATAAATCAAAAAAACAACTCTGTTCACCACTGAGGAATGGAGTTAAATTCGGATCTAAGTCTTCTTGGATGGAGATCTCTGGTGGCAGAACAGGACTGGAGAGTCCTTCTGAATTGGATAGAACTAAGGACAACCATGTGGTAAAAAACAAGGGAGGCATGTCTATCAAACCTGTGGGTTACACCAAGCAAGTAGGAACAGCTAACATGCTAAACACAGCTAGCATGTTAAAATACAGCCCTGAAAGATCAGCAAAATGGACCAGAGCTTGAGAGGAAACTTAAAAGAACAATTTTTAAATTGAATACTTGGGCTCAGGAGCAAAAACAGGGGTGCTTGGGTGGCTCAGTCAGTTAAGCATTGGGCTCTTGGTTCCAGCTCAGGTCAGGATCTCAGGGTTATGAGATGGAGCCTTGTATCAGGCTCTGCGCTCCGCTCTGAGCCAGCTTGAGACCCTCTCCTTCTGCCCCTCCCTCCCTGCCCTCTCTCTCTCTCAAATAAATAAATAAATCTAAAACAAAACAAAACAATACAACTACCCAAGTCCAAAACGGCTGATTGGAAATGCTGCACACAGACCTCTGGTCCCACAGAGATTAGGCTAGTCCCATGTTAGCACACACCAAATCCCCTATTCCTCTTTGTCCCACAGCTCACAGTTGAAAGTCACGGAGTTGTGTGTTTCTATGATTAACATCCATCTTCCCCACTGGAACACAAACTCCCGCGTGTTTCACTAACTGCTGTATCCCCAGTGCCGACAATACTAACGAACACATGATAAGTTCTCAACAAATACTGTGGGGATACATGAATGAATAGAAAGTTGGGCTAAAAACGTATTGAAAAAAAAAAATCTCTTCCGAATGAGAACACCACTTAACTTTATCATATCGGGAATCCTGAGAACATTAGAGGATGCAAGGCAAGAAGCAGGTGAACAGGTACCGCCAATAAAAAAAAAATCCACCCCTCTGCAGCCTATAGGAATTTGGCTCCAGACACATGGGTGTCAGTCTGGCTTTAAACCAGAATAAAAATAGGGGCACCTGGGTGGCTCAGTCATTAAGCATCTGCCTTCGGCTCAGGTCATGATCCCAGGGTCCTGGGATCGAGCCCCACATTGGGCTCCCTGCTCAGCGGGAACCCTGCATCTCCCTCTCCCACTCCCCCTGCTTGTGTTCCCTCTCTCGCTGTGTCTCTCTCTGTCAAATAATAAATAAAATCTTAAAAAAAACAGAATGAAATGTACTTTAAAAATAAATAAATAAAAATAAAAGTGAAAATAAACCAGGCATGTGATTCATGCATCCTTTGAACACTGCTTCTCAGTCTTCCAGTGTATGAAATGGGCGCGATGATGTTTCAGTCTTGGTGCCCTGGATGGACTGAGTTTCCTGCTGGCATTTCCAGGTGACTCGGGTCCAGGTCCCTGGCTTCCCAAGTGAAAGCACTCGAAGACAGCCCCCTCTGTCCCCTCCAGCTGATTTCTGCCCTGAGCCCCAAGGCAGGTGGCTGTCCCCTGGGCTTCCTGGGCCTTTCCTCTAGAAAAGCACATTAAAGGAGGGGCTGGGTTTTCTGCAGGCAGATGAGCTGCCCACGTCAGCCCGGCCACATCAGCAGAACAGCAGACCATGGGCAGGAGGAGGATGCCGGCTCAGCAATCCTACTCCAAGTGCCCACAGTTTTGGCAGAAAGTTATTTTTAAATTTTCTTAAAAGAGGACACTGACATATATGCACACACACAGAGATCAGATCAAATCAACACACCCAACCGCACACACAGTGTGAATGAGAGAGGCCTGGTCTCCTGGAGCTGCTCTCTTCCTGTTGGGATTCTTGCTTAATTTGGGATTTAATGAGTACAGGCTGAGAGAAGCTTTTTGCAATAAAAGTCACATGCAAAAAAAAAAAAAAAATCAAAGCCAGAACCAGAAACCCTGATTATAACTAAATTAGCAAAAAGCACATTTCCATCACAATTAGCAATAATCCTAATGTTCATTCATTTTGTTACTAGGAATTATTGCTACAGAAGTAAATCTGGGATCCCCAGTCTGCTAATCCAATCATCCCCTTCTCAAACACCATGGCTCCTCTCTCCATTCTGTTAAGTCACACCAACTGAGCCGAGTTTTTTAAACCCCAGGAATGATACTCCTGTAGGGGTGGCCCCCACCACTTTCAGTCTGTGGGGGTGCTGAAAATCACCTCGGGGAACAGAAACCATGCTCAGGGTTCCCATCCCCAGGATGCCTCACAGAGAGGAACAGAGTGCTCAACAGTCAGATGTTACATTCTCCCCCACGAAACTGTGTGGCCTGAGCCACGTAAAAACCTCTGAAAGTCTTAGTTTACGTAGGTGTAAAACAGGGCTCCTGCTAATACCCCACTACCTATGAGGCTGCCACGAGGGTCGGCAATGTGTATGAAAGGCAGTCCAGCCCATTCTCTGGCAAGAGTAAGTACTCAATCCGCAGCAGCTGCTGTGGTTAACATCACTGTTGTTTTAAGATCTCTCAGAAATTCAGAGGATAGAGGCAACCTTGGCCCCAGTGGGGGCCACCGGAGGGTAAAATGGCATCAGAGAGACAGTCAGCAACCCTGGTACTCACTGTGGCTGCGTCCTGGCCAGCCATGCTATCTTAAGAAAGTCACTGCCCTTCTCTCTCTATGGTCCTCTCTCTGTGTGGCTTGATGGGTCTCTCTGGACACTTCCTGCCCGGGGACACCTGTGTCTCTAGCCTCCATAGGACACCTGGGCAGGTGGGAAAGGTTCAGCAGAGGGATCCAAGCCCAGAGCAGGAACACGATGCAGGACACCAGGGGAGGAGGAAAGAAATTTCTGCTCCCAGCCCACCATGCAGGGCTTCATAGGCTGGGCGGCCGAATCAGACAGGCACACCTGTCGCCAAGGCACACCTGCAAGACGCCAGCACCTGCCATGAGGACAGAGACGGAGCTAATGCTAAGCATGGGCACTAAGTGATCATTCCAGCTTTGCAGCCTCTGGCCAACTCCCAAGCTGAGCCTTTGATTCCATGAAGTCCGTCCAGAGAGAAACTGGGGCTGAAAACACTGAGAGGAATCCCCAGGGAAAAAAAGGAGGAAAAAGAGGGAACCAATAATAGCTACTATTTAGTGAGTGTGCACTAGGCATCAGCAATATTCCTGGCGTACTTAAGGTGACTTAGCTCACTGAATGCCTTAGAAGGGCAAATATTAACAGCAAAATTAATGGGCAGAGTGTGGGGGAGTATCATTCATAAAGTAAATGGAACATATTCCTTTTCTTTCTACTACTTTATTCTTCCCCCACCCCCCACCTCAGTCCAGCCGACATTTAGTAACTTCATGA